TTCTGTGACCCCCTGGGCTGCCAGATGTGATCTTGTCATTGAGCAGGATGGGAGAATAATCCTCCTCATGTGATTTCTGCAGAGAAGGGAGGACCTTGTGATCTCTGCTGCAAGAGCCCAGCTGGATGATTTCCTTCATCCATCAGCCCAGTGTCCCTGGAGGATGTCCCCTCCTCCAGCACACAGAGTACAGCAGCCTCACTGGGGCTGGGACAGGCTGGGGCTGACTCGTGCCAGGCTCTCTTCCTCAGCCAGACACCTGGCCAGAGGCTGGGGCTAGCTACTGGTGCTCTGAACTGGGGCTGCACTCTCTTTTTGGCCCTGGAGGTGTTAGCACAGCCAAGCCTGCTTTTTTCCTTCACTAGTCCAGGAGCACAGCATTTCAGGTTGCCTCTCAGGACTTATAAGGGACAAGCACCAAACAGGGCAGGGATTGGCATTGGTTTGACTGCAGGTGCACAGCAAGAAGAGCTCTCTCCTTCAGCACAAAAATGATTTTGCAAGCTGAAATTGTGCAGGGAAGATCAGGAAGAGGAAACATGCATGGCTCAGGCTACCAGCACCCATCAGCAGAATTCAGCCACAGCCAGGGGTAGTGATATGACACCATTTAACCTCCTTGCTTGCTCGCCTGGGCTGCTGGTTGTGAAGGAGACAAAGAGCTCCCCTGGCAAAACAGCCCAGTCTGGGAATTGCCTCCACCACAGCTGCCTGACGTACTTTCTACAGCATGAATCACAGAGTAATGGTATCTGCAAGCAAAGCCCTGCTTATGCATTTAGTCGAGCAGAATCCACAAAGCTGCTTGTAGCAGAATCAGCTGTGACCTCCACAGCATTGTGCCATTAATAGCAAGGTTTGGTCTGGGTCAAACAAAAGCAGGGCAGACTTAATAGGAGAGGAAATGAGATGGATGCACTCGGCTGGCCTCTCCCCACATGCTCCTACTGTAATTATAGCTGGTGCTGTTCAGCTCCCTCATTCACAAGTCTCATCACTGAGGCTGCATTTCTCGTGGCCAAGGTATAAAAGCCCCACACAGATTTGTTGTGGCCCCAAGCAAACCGGCAGCAGCACAAAGGGAGCAGTGGCAGGGAACCTCAGCTCCCACTGCCAGGAGCTGGATGTGTGGCCTGGGATGTGGAAGGGAAAGGAAGGAAGGGTTGGGCTGTAGGAACAGGAGCAGGACCGCTATCTGCAGAGAAAGCTGGAGATACCTGATTATGGGTTTGGTTTGTCAGCATGGCCAAGTGCAGATGGGGCTGGCAGAAAGTCCCAGCTGTAGTGCTGGTCCCAGTGATGCAGCTCAGGAGGCTGCTTCAGAGGGACATGGGGGTGGCACATGGTCACAGGGGGGTGGGTGTGCCCACCATCCACCCCCAGGCCCATCTGCTCCAGTGCTCTGCTTTTGTGCTCAGGCTGAAAATGAAGAAACATCCTGTTTTCCTGACCTACAGAAAAAGGGCAGCCCTGGAGGGCATTCCTGTGCCTGGATGGGATAAGAAGCTTTTCCCACTGTGATCAGACTAAGCAAGGGTGTAGCCACCCTTGTCCTGAGCTCTGTAGTGTGCAGAGGCAGCGCTGTGCCTTGCAGTGAGACGGGCTCACTGCTGGTGGCTGAAGTGATACAGGAGCCAGCAGGGTGCCCAGGACAAATAAACCCTCCCCAGCTCCCTTAGGAGCAGGACTCCCCCTCATGCTCTGCTCTCTGGGGGAGCAGGTGCCACAGTGCTTGGTGTGACGCTGTGAAAGCCTCTCCAGACATCCTTAATCACATTCCTCTGGAACAGGGACACATCTGGTACAAACATGATCCTGTCCCCAAGGAGCTCAGGCTAATTCCTGTCACACAGAGCCTCGGAGCAGCCCCGGGCAGGGAGAGCTTCGGCAGAGCTTTGATCATCACCACTGTCACTTTGCAGGGGATGGGGCTGCAGCAGGGATCCACAGCTTCATGAGCTGAGCTCAAGCAGCCCAAGCCTGAGCTGGCCTGGCCAGACTGACCAAGTCTGAGGGGTGGCTGGGCTACCCACAGTGTGGGAGTGGGAGAAGGGACAACCTGCACTTTTCAAATGTTGATTTATACGCTGATTTCAAGGAATTGTGAAACTAGAACAAGGAAAGGGCCAGAAGTGTGGGATCAGTTTGTACCCTACTGCATGGTCTGTGTGTCCCCTTCCTCTTGCATGCATGCAGGCTGTGTTAGGAGAGTGCTTTGGCATCGGGGTCTGGCAGTGGGTGGCATGCTTGATTTTTGGCTGCTGTTCTCAGTAGTTCTCCGTCTTTGGTGAACACATTCCTGGCTGTCCTGTGCTTTGTGCGAGGGGGAATTTGCCTCAGCAAAGCAGCAGGGCCTGTCAGGGGGGGCTGTGATGGTGGCAATGCACAGCAGAGCACGTGTATTTCCTTCTGCATCTGTGCCTCCCTATGCCTTTGTCTGGGCCAAGGTATCCTGTCTCTGCTCTTGACTCTCCCAAATGAGATCATGCCAGGGATGACAGTGGAGGAAATCAGCCCTCCACCCTACGAGCACAGTTCTGATGAGCCTTTGAGGACCTGCAGCCAAGGTGTCACAGCTCGTCCCCTCGCAGCTGATGGGAGAGCAAGTCTGTCAGATTCTTCCCACCCACAGCGGGGCATGCCGGCCTGCCTGCCTCCCAGGAATGTGCCAGACCCGTGGCAGAAGAGGAAATTAAGATATTGTCTGGAGTCCAGGAGGAATTCCTGCCTCAGCTTGTTCCTGCCAGTCCTCTGCCGACCTTCCCTCGGCATGGAAAGCCCAGCAGGAAGCTGACTCACTGTCTGCTGCTGCCACGCTGGGTGCGGGGCCGGCTGCCTGGGGGCTGCTCCTTTCAGGGATGCAGGGATCGCTCACTGCTCAGACCCACCAGCACCTGCCTGCCCTGGCTGTCCTCTCCCAGGGCCCAGCACTCTGCTGACAGGCAGAGAACAGCCACGGCATCCTGGTTCTTGTGCTGGGCTGAGAGGAGGGTTGGGAGCTCCTTGGGTTGCTGCCACTGCTGCCAAACACTCAGTGAGCGCTGCTGTGCCAGGCTTGGGGAAGGAGGCAGCCCCGAGGCTGGGGGGAGGAGATGGGGGCTAATGGGCTGGAGAGGTCCTGGGCTTTTCCTGCACAGTGGGGTTCATGTGATAGTGAGTCAGCAGTCACTGCTTATCAAAGCTCTGTGAAGAAGTAGGTGGTCACAGCCAGCCCTTGCCAGGAGCAGCACCTAAAGCCCCTAAAGCCAGCTAGGAAACAGTTCAGAGATTGCAGGTTCCAAGTGGGCTGTATGAATGCAGGATTAATGCTATAATCCTTCAAAAGAAAGGAACAAATTTCAGGTGTAAGTTTCTTGTCAAGATTCTTGCCACCTTTTCTACTCAGCTGATATAGGGCTTACAGTGTCTGTCACTGATATCCCATTTGGGGAATCCAATGTTTATTGACTGAAGAGTTGGAAAGTTACTTTGTTCTAAGGACTGGGTCAAGGCATCTTCCATTTCCCTCTTGCAAAGTGTCAGCCAACAATAGTGTAAATGCTAAAAACCTTGCCCTTTTGAAAGGTTCTACCCTTCCCTTCTACCCTGGATGACAGGAACCATGACAGGAACCATGGCCAGAGTTTCTCCTGAGAAGTCTGGGAAGGGATGTCTGGCGGCAGAGATGCTTGCTGGTGGAGACTGCTGGCTGGCAGGCAGATAGAGGAGAAAGAAGTGTGCTCCTCAACTTTCCTGTGGTTGTGAGGACCTCCACGGCCCCCTGGTGACCAGCCAGAACTGAGAAGCTTAGCAGCCAAAATTGTCTGCAGAAACAGCATCAGCAGGAATCCCCTCTCCTCCCGTGAGGAGAAGGCTGGCTGTGGCAGAAACAGCCTGGCAACAAATGTGTGGCTGTAAGGAGGACTGTCAAGGACACTGTGAGTAGATCTATCCCCTTGTCTGACACAGTGATTGGCCTTGTGGATAGAGGTATTAGATGTGAGATAAGAACTGCAGTTGGGCTTCTGGTGCCATCTTGCATGGTGCTTCCATAAAACAGGGAAAGTGATGTAGATTAAACTAATCCAGCACAAGTACAAAAGAGCCTGCACAGTCACACTCAGGATAGCTCTCAATAACTTGGTATTAAAATGGAAGGACACAGTGACAGTGACTCATATATCAGGAAACTACTAAAAGGCCCAGAGAGTGAGGGTGGAAGAGTGGTGGGGGAAGTCATCACAGGTTAGGCAGTGGCCTCAGTGTGACTCTGTCCAGAGGCAGATGTCGAACAAGATACTGCCAATCTACCTCAGAACCCTCTCCGTGTTTTAAGCAGTTTAAAACCCTCCCATTATTGACTAAAATAATAATAAATTAAAAAACCCTTCCCCCACACCCCTCCATTAGGTTTCCTTTCTTTCAGAAAAAATATATAATTTCTGAGGGCAAAAAACATCTTCACAGAGCACTTGTGAATCATGATCTGGCCACACTTCGATCTGTGATCGAGTTCTATCTTTGAACTATGATTTGGAGAAACTTTGCTCAGAGTACTGCTCTTTGCCACCTGTTCCAAATCTCAGAGACATCATTTCGAAGCTCTATCAGGATTCCTGTTAACGGTCCCTCTCCCTGCATCACGCTATGATGGTGTGCTGAAGGAGCCCCAAACCCGAAACGTTTGGTGTTCTGGGTGACATCAGTTGCCCTTACATCAGCGGCACTTGGCTCCTGTGCCCTGTCCAGCAGTGTCCCCCGTCCCCGCCGCGTGTCCGTGGGTGGCACCGGCCGCTCGGGCCTCCCCCACCCCAGCCCTTCTCAGCCGCCTCCTCTCGAGATGCGCTCCTCTTCCTCGCCACTCTCACCCCGCTGCTGCTGAGCGCTCCGGCCCCGGCACGGCCCCGCCGCTGCCGCAGCAGCCGCACTCCGGGGCGGGCGGAGCGGGGCGGAGCGGGCGGCCCGGCCGCTCCCCGCTGCCCGCGGCCGGCGAGGCGGAGCCAGCGGGGCCGGGAGCCGTGCCCGCCCGGCCGCGGCGGTGCGGCGCTCAGAGCCGGGCTGCGCTCCGCGGGGCTCCGCCGATGGACGCCTCTCTGCGCCAGGTGGGCAGCGGCGGCACGGGCGCGGCGGGGCTCGGCCCGCTCGGGGCCGGCACAGGCGGGGGCCGGGCGGGGGCCGGCAGGATTGGGTCTCAGCCGGGCATCGGGGTGCCGTGCCCGGGCCAGGAGCGCGCCGGGGCCGTGGGACGTGAGCTCCCCCGGGCCGCGCCCCCGCTGCCCCCTCGCCGAGACGGTCCCGGTTGCACTTTCTCTGGAGCGATGGGATGCGGAGGGTTTTGTCCCCGAGCGCTCCCCAGCCCGGCGCGGCACCGCGCAACCCAGCGAGGGGCTGAAGGGGCTGCGGGAGCCGGAGCCCGGCCGATGTGCGGTGTCGGCAATGCCGACCGGGGCTGCTTGCGGGAGGAGAGGTTTGTCGCATGATAGTCATGGCTGCCCGGTGCCGGCTTCTTAATGCTCTGGAACGACTTGAGGGTCCGGAGCCTGCTCCTGCCTGCGTGTGTGTGTCTCAGAGGGGCTGGCCTCGGGGCACCGGGCCGGTGGGCAGGCGGGCAGCGTGCGGCGGGAGCGCCCTGCGCTTCCGTGCCGCTGCCCAGTCACCGTCACGGCGGCGGGCAGAGCGGCTGCCGAGGCCGGACCCGTGCTGTTACCCGCGGCTCTGGTCCCGCCTGGCCGCGGTGCCCTCCCCGGCTGAGCACTCGGCCGTGCGGATACGGTGCTGCCGTGGGGAGCGAGTGACTGAGTGCGCGGGGCCAGGTGCCGGGCACCGGGCACAGCCCGGGCGCTCCGAAATTCTCCGTGCCGTTTTTCGTGCCTGAGCAAACACGGGTCTGCAGCCCAGCCTGGTGATGGCTTTGGTTGTGAGGGGCAGGTGGGTGCAAGGCCAGGGCAGCCCATTCTGGACCCATGGTGACAGTGGATGGCCGTGGCATTGGCAGTGGGCATGGCAGACGCTGTGGGGTGACGGGGCCTTCTGGAGGTCTGCGGCTGAGGTCTGCAAGCCTCCTGTTTGGGGCATGACACATGTGCCCCCTCCAGCCCCAGATGGTTTCCAGGCCATTAACCCCAGTGTCTGGCCCTGCGAGCCGCGGGCGCGGAGGAGGAGCCGGCAGCGCTCGGAGCAGCCCGTGGTCTCTGGGCCAGAGCCGCTGATGATGGGCTCGGGCCTGCCCCCTCCCTGGCGAAGCGCTTTCTTTATCAGAGCAGATGTTTTCCCAGATCTGGCCCCAGAGAGGAAGGAGTGGCTGCCCCGGGGCTGTGCGGCTGGGGCTGCCCCGCAGCGCATCGCCAGCATCCCTCAGCCATTAACTGATTAACCTGCTGCTCCTGGAAGTCTGGGCCGTCTGTATCTAATCAGATGGAGGCCAGAGTTTCCCAAAGGGCCATTTCACCACAGCCTTTATGCCCATCCCTCTGCCAGGAGAAACCTCCAGGCCTCTTGCAACAGGAGTAGCCACTGAGGAGCCTGAAGGAACTGATGGGAATGGGAGGCTGGAAGGGGGTTGCCCAGAGGTGCACGCCTCAGCAAGTAGCACCCTTCAGAGAACTGCCTGCTTTGTCCAGCTCCAGGACGCTCTCCAGGCATGATTCTGCCATTATCTGAAGAAACAGGGATTTCCAGGGGAGGGCTGAGGGACGCTCCTGGAGTCAGAGTCTCTCTAAGAATCACACATCTCTTGTAAATCACAGACTTTAATCCTGATGGAGCCAGGTAGGCAAGGCTGGAGAACTGGGGTGAGTGTGTGCAGGAAAGCATCAGACTGCTTTGCAGGAAAGGCGGTGGGGGTGGGAGAGAGGGAATGTGACTTCCCCAAAGCCGGAATGTTTGGCATTTGCTGCACCCCAGCCACTCTTCCTCCTTCTCCATGGGGGGTTCTTAGTGGGAGGGAAAGCCTGAGTAGAAGGGAGTTGCTTCACTTCTTTCTGCAGCAGCAGAATACGAGCTTGTCCCAGGGGATGCGTGTCATGTCTTGGAGTGAATAGCTTAAACCCCAGTGTGCTCTTGGTCCTGCCTTAGCAGGCTCCCATGCTGTCCTTGCAGCATTTAGATTATCACACTCAGCTGTGAATCAGTATCTGGGATTAGGTGGGGATGCCATGGGTCTGCACAGCTCCCCTAGCTCCCCCTTTGGCATGCTGGAGACCAAAATGGCTTTGTGAGGGTTCAACCCGCTTGCCATCCTGGTTCTGCAAGGGAGGAATAGTTTTGGCCAGGTGTGCCAGCTCGACACTGTGGGAGGGTTTCCCATGTGCTGTGCCCTGCTCTGCATGCAGACCCCAGGGACAGCGAGCTGCTGGGGTGGTGGGTGCTGCTGCTGCTCTTCTCCCACAACATCCCAAGCGGGTCAGATTAGAAAACCTTCATCCTCACTGAGTGGTACAGCACTAAGATGTTTGTGTGCCTGTGCCATGGGAGCTCTGCCATGCAGCATGGCTCAGAGATGTGATGGATGAGGCCTTTGCTCCGTCAGGGTGTGAGTGGAGGAGCCGTGTGTGTGTGCTCTGCCATCCTTGCTTGGCTGCTGCAGGGAGTCCTGTGCCCAGGCAGGAGGAGGGCCCTGGAGGCCCGGGCTGTGGCACGGTGACAGATGATGGTTTCCCTGTGTGTCTGGAGTGTGGGCAGGATGTGGGGTTGACACAGAGGATGTGACTCGCTCTCCAATTCCCCCTGAGGAGCAGGAATGTCATGGACAGGGTTAAAGGAGACACTTCTCCCATCCTGTCCTTCTGCACTCCAGTTGGAGTGACCAGTTAGCAGGGTCCCATAGTCAGTCAGCACTGAGGAGCAGCATCCAGTGGAGTCACAGATGCTGCTCTTCTTCTCATGTGCCACTGGCCTAGAAATGCTGGCATTTTAAGTGTTAAACAGTTTTCCTCATTGCTCTTGTGGTGAAATCCAAAGCTTTTCATCTGTGTTGTAAAATAAATCCCTTGAAATTCTTAAGCTTTCTGACATGGGGAGAGAAAGGCGGGGTAATTCTGTCTTCATTTCCTGCATGGCTGTGGTGATTGGAATTGTCCTCTCTACAGCTGTCATGGTCTTCACTTACTATTCCCCATGTCCCCCATCCTTCCCTGGCCACAGCCCTTCTCTTCTTTGTGGCCTGGGATATCTGCCATGGAGACAGGGAGAGGATCCATCTCTCTGGGGAATGCACGCAGATCAGGGAGCAACCTCTCTTCTCAGAGAGTCTTCTCTCTGAGAGTCAGAGTCAAGGCTGTGAAGGAGTACTAAGGCTACTGAAGTTAGCATCATGCATGCCCTGAGCTGCTTTCTTGGCCCAAACTGAGGTGGGGAGCAACTACCTCTGCCAGGTTTCTTTTGCTCTGGCAGCTTTGCCCTGACTGCTGACTCCTTGATGCAAGTGGAAAGTGCCTGACTGCTCCACAAAGCCATCAGGGAGTCTACAAAGTGTGGCCCTTTACTGGCCACAAGACACTCAACTAAATTTCCTGTGCTTTGGGCATCTAATGGTGTGAAGTAATGTGTATAAACATCTGCAGGCAGATGGGGAACATGGGTAAGGAGAACAACTGAAAGCACTTGACTGTGAATGCACCTTTGCAGTGTGGAGCCTGCCTGATTAATGGGTGCAGCAGGTACAGGACTGGTCTGATTTTTGGTTGCACATGCAATTCTCACCAGCTTTGGGCTCTCTGTTGAAGCTGTTTGGATGCATCATCCAGAGACCTGTGTCCCCAGGGAACCCAGGTTGTGTTGGGTGGGAAGGGTTTGTACATGGCTGGATTAGGTTTCTCAATAGATTGGTTTGCCCTTCCCATACTCCCTGCAGTTGGGAGAAGGACCAGCTCCTGTGAGAGAGGAACATGGCCAGATGTCCAGGAGAATCTATCCAGAGACTCTTGTCTGAGATAAGGGAAATGGTTCAGCTGACGTGGATGATGCTGACCATGAGTGATGGGCTGTCTTTACAGATAACAGTAAGCTGAATGCCCATGGGTTAACAGCCATTGTCTTAGGAAAATGCCATCTTGGAAAGAAAAGGTACTAGAACATCATCTTCTTTAGCAGTGAGGCTGCTCTTTGAAGGAGTATTCTGGCCAAGCCTGTCTCCACCTCTCAGGAACATGTGCTTTGCCAGCTTCCTCTGACAACCTCCTCTCAGTCTACTCAGAATATTGTGACCTCTCAGAAAGAGGACCTGTAGGGATTAAGAAGAGACAGAGAAATGCTGACTGTAACATCCATCTTGTGTATGTAATGCTCTCTGTATCAATACCACAAGGAGCACCCCCTCTCTGTTTAATTAGCCTGTATAGTGCAGCTGAAGAGAAGTACTACGGTCCTTGAAGATATCCATGCAGCTGGTGTAGCATGGATGTTCCTACACACGGGATCCTCCATGCAAGCTGTGTCTCCCCTGAACCATTCAGAGTGATAAAGAGGCAGATATAGGACAAAAGGGTTTGACTGCCCTGTTTTGGAGCAGCAATTGCAAGGAAGAAAGCTCTTGTGCCAAAGGTGACATGAAGAAGTGTCTGGCGGAAGAGAGGGAGTCCTGCTAGCTCCCTCCTTAGGGCATTCATCTGGAGCCAGGCTGCGTGAGCCGTGACCTTGTCACATCCCATCAGCAGCAAGAGGGTGGGCTGGCACAGGCTCTCAGTGAGAGCCCCCACATGAAGGAGAGCCAGGCTGCCCTGGGCCAGCATGCAGCTGCCCCACTGTGGCCTCCAAAGCCACCTTGTTCTGCCCTGGTTTCACTTCTTGCCACGCTTACATTTAACAGAGTGATCACAAATGTTTTGCAATTTCTTTTTCCCGTTTTGCTGTAAGGAGAATATGCGAGCTGTCTAAATGTGATTATTAAGACAAACTTGTGAGAGTCTGGATTTCCTGGTTATCTTGCAGTTACCCTAAACTCTGCAGTTCTGCCTCCTCATTTCCATCTGAGATCACCCACAGTTCAGTGGTGATGTAGAGCCCAGTCTCAGGAAAAACACCTATGGAGGGCCTGTTATGCCTCACTTGGCACAGTGCCCAGGGGACTGAGGGGTCCTGTCATGCAAGTGCAATAATTATCACA